GACGGTGAAAATTTTGACTACTGGAAAGATATGATCAGAAGTTTCTTCCTAGCATATGACGCTGACCTCTAGGATATGGTAATTGATGGATACATACATCCTGTTGATGAAAACGGTCAGAAGATTGACAGAAAAAGGATGACAGATCATCAAAAGTAAGACTTCAGAAATCATCACAAGGCCATAACTATTCTCCTGAGTGCCATCTCATATTCAGAGTATGAGAAGATCACAAACAGAGAGACAGCAAAGCACATGTTTGATTCTCTTAGAATGACGCATAAAGGCAACATACAAGTAAAAGAAACATAAGCCATTGCCCTCATTCAGAATTATGAAGCCTTCAAAATGGAAGAAAATGAAACCATTGAAACAATGTTCTGTAGATTTCAAATTCTGATGGCTGGACTAAAGGTGCTGGACAAAGAGTACTCAATTGTTGATCATGTAAAGAATATCATCAGAAGTTTACCAAAGCAATGGAGACCCATGGTCACTGCTCTCAACTGGAAAAAGATCTGAACATAAAATCACTAGAAGAACTTGTCATCTTTCTCAGAAGCCATGAGATAGAGTTAGTAGATGATGAGCGTCAGAAGCAAGGTAAGTCTCTCGCTCTGAAATCTAATAAATATGAAACCAAATTTTTGCAGGAAAAAGCAGAAGCAGAAAACTCTAGAGAATCCTCGTCAGAAGAAGACGAACTGTTCTTTCTATCTAGAAGAATCAATCAGTTGTGGAAGCACAGGCAGAAGAATTTCAGAAACTCCAAAAGAACATGAAATAACTCTGAACAATCTTCTGGATACAGAAAATCCAGTAACAGAAACATTACCTGCTATGAATGCAACAAACAAGGTCACTACAAAAGTGACTGCCCAAGGCTTCAGAAGGAGAAACCTAAAAGGAAGTTCTTTAAGGAGAAGAAGAAAATTCTTACGGCAACGTGGGATGACTGTGAATTCTCTGAAGACGGAACAGAATCAGAAGATGAACAAGCCAATATAGCTCAAACAGATAACTTATCAGATGTCTCCAAATCCTCTGAATCAGAATCAGAATCAGACTCAGAGTTAGAAGAGGTATTTTTTAACTTTTCTAGATCTCAATTAGAGGAGAGTCTGCCAGAAATTCTAGAAAGGTATCAGAAGCTTCGAGTCATAAACAAAAACCTGAAAAAGGATCTAGTTTCTGACTCTGAAGAAACTAAGAATTCGAGACTAGAAAACTTTGAGTTGAAAAGAAAAATTTTAAAACATGAAAATGATTTACAAAATACTCAGAAGGAAACTATCTCAGCAGTTCCTAGTACCCCTGAAACAATCATAAAGGATTATGATCACAACTTTCAGAAATTCCTCGCTAAAAACATATATATAAGCAAGATGACTTCAATGATCTATGGAGTTAGCAGAAATGGAAGAATAGGTATAGGATACAAAGGTAAAATATCCCAACCTAAGAAAGTTAAGGATCTGGTTATCAAACGCACTCCTCTTTATTCTCACTTCACTACTGGGCAAACACATGATATAAAACATACTGGTAAGGCATTTTATGCTAAACCAAAATTCAAACAGAATTTTGGAAACTCTAACAGTCATGGACCCAAAAAGATATGGGTACCGAAAGACAAAATCATCTATGTTGCAAATATTTTTAACAGCAAGGTTGAAACACCAGTATTAACCTCTGGGCTCTGGATGTTCTCTACACATGGAGGAAAGAAATCATATGTTCATAAGCCTGGAATTTAAAAGATTCGCAGGTTTCAGAGACAATAAGAAACAAAAGGTTATTGGCTCTGAAACTATTGGAAACATGAATGAAAATACAACATCAGAAGCTCTATAAAGAATCTCAGATGTATCCAGAAGAGGATGTCACAGCTTTTCAAGCAACTTCTGTCAGAGCAAGCCAAATAGAGTCTTTGCCGCTTTTTGATTCTTGACAAAAAGGGGGAGAATAAATAATATTTTGACTCCTTTCAGAAGATCTTCAGGGAAGTATTTTATTTTCTCGTTATCTGAGTATTCTACTCAGGGGGAGCCCTTTAGTTTTTTGTTCTTTACATTCCATCAAAATATACAAGTTTTTGTCATCTTCAAAAATGGGGATATTGTTAGAACATAATTTAGTTTTACATCCCAGTTAGAGTTTTGATGATAACAAACACATGATATAAAGAACAAATATACTCGCTAATAAAAGTATCTTTACATGCATGAAGTTCTGATGTGAAAAAGATGTTCTGGTGCAACTGGAAGTTCTGCCAGAACATCACTAGAAGTTCTGATTATGCGAGCATAGAAGCTGAGAGTACCATGATAGATTCATACGCATCAAATCTGTGTGACACACTTATATGAAGAAGTTTTGTTACAACTTCTGAATGCACCAGCGTTGTGAAACAGGATCTCTGATACTCTGATTTGCAAAGTGTTGATACAAGCTGTAAAGGACTCTCAACGATAATATTCATCCTCTGATATGAGAAGCTTTGAAGCGTTACAATTCCATCAATGCAATATCATATGTAACGGCTACCACTGAGCTAAAAGCAATTTCTTGTAGCCAAGGTGCAACTTTATTTCCATATAGTAAGAGCATTTTCAGGGGCTGCACCTAGTTTACTAAGCGCCCATGGGTGGGGTGTTAAGCCCTTAGAATCCATAAGGTTGATGTTGGATATTTTAATCCAAAAATCTCTCCCCCAGTGTCAGCCGGGGGGATTCGAACCCATGACCATGCTCTCATACCACATGTAGGATCAAGCGCTTACCACTGAGCTAAAAGCAATTGCTTGTAGCCAAGGTGCAACTTTATTTCCATATAGTATGAGCATTTTCAGGGGCTGCACCTAGTTTACTAAGCGCCCATGGGTGGGATGTTAAGCCCTTCGAATCCCTAAGGTTGACGCTGAATATTTTAATCCAACATACTTGCCCATCACTCACGAGCTTTCAAGAAAATAGTTGATTGTGTGTAAAGTTATTATTCTCACTTATGAACTTTTAAGCAAAGAGTTTAGTATTGTTTATTGGAAGTGTAATATTTTGTTTTAGTTATTGTCACTGGTTTGCGACTGGTTTTTATCATTGAGGTGATTGTGGAAAGTGAGAGTGGGATCCCATATCTAGAAGGTTTCTAGGTATAAGTTGCACAAAGTAGGGATTAGGTGATCAATTGTAAACTAGGGTTGTTTAGCTTTGAACTAATACTATCATAGTGAATTTCCTTCCTGGCTTGGTAGCCTCCGGAGTAGGTGAGTTGCACAGAATTGGGTTAACAATTTATTGTGTTATTTATCATTTTATAATTTACTTTCTGCTCAATCTATTGCTTTAGCAAGTATTGTTTGTCAGCAGATGATGTCTTAACATTTGTCTTGACATTGTGTTTTGGTGTTGGGACATTAATTTTGACATCTATTTTAAAGTTCCAGAATTTTAGTTTTAATATATATTTCAACAAAGGCGACTGTACGATCCATAATTCTAGATATTGTGAATCGTTAACCGCACCACCAACAAACAAGAGCTTACTTTGATTTGGTTAGAACACTCGAGTACTCTAAGGAATCAATGTTTCAAGGCGTAGAACCACGTATCAAGGTTTCCCTAATAAATATTGTTAATCACAAGGAAGATATTTAATGCGCTTATTCCCAATGTTACAGACATTTCATTGAAGCTCTCCTAATTCCTTCTGCCAAAAACTAGACTAAAGATATGCACAGCAAACCCTCGAGCTACAAATATAAACAAGGGCTTAAGGAAACTATTATAGGCCTCTCGCATGACCCACGACAAGAGACCCAATAGCAAGCGTCGCACAAAAAGGCACGCAAAATAGGTGAGACTTCACCCCGATGAGGGCATGTGATTCGACCTCGAACATATATCTCATTGTTGGATATAATTGCATGGAGATAGTTTTAATCACATGTCTTATATAAAGCATGATACACATTATTTTAAGTATTATTTCATTCACACCCTCAAACTACTTTTATACTCATTCACTGGCTTAGACATTAAAATACTAATCTTACAAAACTTCACCAACCACACCAGAATTCAAATTTGTTCAATCTACACATATGTCTGATTCATTTGCAGAAGAGTATCTTTATCCTCGAATTTTATAAACGAGATACCATCATAAGATTTCTCTATTCAAAACATGTATCTTCAACACAAAAAAGAAAGATTATTTTATTTTGACACCAAACTTTACTCCTACATAATATTTATTGTTCATAAATATGATGAACAATATTTTTTTAATTTAAAAAATATATAATTTTTTTTTATTATTTTTAAAATTATTTTTGTAACACAAATATAAAATTTTCATTAACCAATTTTATTGTCGTGTTAACCACAAAATATATGTTATTACCTACATATTTTACTTGTTACTCATTAACCAATAAAATATATAACATTAACCAAATTTTTACATTAAATTATGAAATATAATAATCAGCCCTTACAATTCATTAATCAAATTCTAATATTAAATTATAAAATATAACAAATAAAATGTGTTAATAGATTGTAAAGACATATTATTATATTTCATATATTAATGTCAGAACATCGTTAATATTATGCATTTTATTGATTAACGAAATAGTAAATTTGATTAATGGTTTATAAGGAAAATATGTGTTAAATAACATAGTATATTTTAGGGGTTAATGTAATAAAAAAAAATTTAATAAGAAACCTTATATTTGATTAAAAAATTTAAAATAAAAAATAAAATTTATAAATATTTTTTTTTATTTAAAAAAAAATAATGTTCATTGTATTTATGAACGGTTAATATAATGTAGTTGTAAAGTTTTATATCAAAATAACATTACTCAAAAAGAAAATATACAATACGATTAAAATATGTTTAATAGATAAAAATAGACAATACACTACACAACTTCCCAACTTACAATTCATATCTGATCCGTCCCATCCTTGTGGTGCCAGAAAACAAGAATGTGGATGGTCCTATCTTCCTCTCAAACTCAAATTCACAATTCAATTACAACACAAACCCGTTGGCATCATCTTGAATCGAAACCCAGGACAAGAAGAATCAAGTTCCCTTTCAAACTAAAATGCCAACAACAAGAACACCAACTATCCAATTCCTCACTCAAACCCAAAACCCAAGACGATGGAATCCCAACAGAAGACATAAAAACCCTAGCGAAATTCAAATCGAGACACAACTACATCCGTGTTCTAGAAGTTTCCAGAAAAGCCGACCACCCATTCCGCGGCTCCAGACTTCTCCTTCTCGACAACCCCGGAAACATCCACAGCATTTCCTTCCTTTTCAAAACCCTAACCAACACCTACTTCGACGTCTTCGCCACAATCCCTCCGATCATACCTAGTGGACCCATCGCCGTACTCGGCTTCGGCGCTGGCTCCACCGCCCGCATCCTCCTTAACCTTTACCCGGATACAATCATTCACGGCTGGGAACTTGATCCCTCTGTGATTGACGTTGCTAGAGAATATTTCAATCTTTCAAAAATTGAGAGAGAAAACAAAGAGAGACTTTTTGTTTACGTGGGAAATGCATTGACTGCGAGTTTGAAAGGAGGGTTTTCGGGGATTTTGGTGGATTTGTTCTCGAACGGGAGTGTGATACCGGAGCTTCAGGAGGCTGCTACATGGGAGAAGCTAAGGAGGAGTTTGAGGAAAGGTGGGAGGATAATGGTGAATGTTGGAGGGAGTTGTGTGGAGGCTGAGGATAAGTTTAGAGATGGGAACGTTGTGAAGGAAGAAACGTTGAAGGCTATGAGAATGGTTTTTGGAGAGAAGCTTTTTGTTCTCACACTTGGGAACCGTGGAGAGGATAGTTCTCTTGCTCTTACAGGAGATTCTCCTGAAATTGATGTATGGAAGAATAAGCTTCCATCTTCTTTGAGGTGTTACGCTGGTTCATGGAAGCCATATTCTGGTTAGTTCAATTGTTTGAGCTGAAAAAGAACGTTTGCACACCAACTGTTTGTGTTTATTCCTCTCTGAAGTTTAGGCTTTAGTCGGTCAATATTTCTTTGGTTTAAAGGACACTGTTAAATACCATTTTTGCGGTTGTAATTTTATTTTATTGATGATTGATAAGCAGTTATGCATGATAGTTATTATTCAACTAATAGGAGTGTTTCAAAAATAATGTAAATACATATAAGTTACAAATGGTTTGATTTGTAGTGTTTTGTAAGACTTAATTGTATAACCGCGTGTTTAAGCGTCTGGAGCTTGTGTGCCTGATGCAAGTATACCTGCTTCAACGTTTGATGGCTCAGCCCTAAGTGATTATTTGAGGTACTGAATGGAGAGATGTTTCATACTCCCACAAAGAGATGCAAGAGCAAGGATAATAAAATAAAAAAACAGAGAAATGAAGTGTTTGATATATTTTGACGGGTCAGAGTATCTACGAAGAAATAGGTGGTTTTGAAATTTTTTGTTGTGTGAAATTTTTTATTGTCTCACATGAGAGGAGATCAACATTTAAGCCATCCGATATTGTGGTCTATGTGTAAGTAAGAGGAAAACATGTTTGTGTAGATTTTACTGAAATTTTTTCATTGGTGATACTGAGGATTGATAGTTTTATTGTGGGATAGATAACTCTCAAAATTGTTTCAAATAAAGTGGTCAAATATGAAAAAGTGTGTTATGACAATCAACAAACATTCATTCCATTTATCTTTGACATTTTTGATTTCTTAGCACCATAAATAATTAATCTTTTAGAGAGTTTAAAAATTTATGAATACCAATATTGTATTTCATTTATTTTGTAAATATGGTTTTTAAAAAGATTAGATTTGTTATAGAAAAGAAAAAAAATCGGTCCAACTTATTAGTTGTGCACAATTTGGATATGTGAATTGATATTTTTAAGTTAGCATGCACAATACAATTTAAGAAATGAAAGAAAAAAAGTCGATGTAACTAACTAATTGAGAAAAACTCAATGTAACAAGTCAGCTAGTTGAACTACATGGATATCTTTAACTATTTTTTCTTGTGTTACTTAATGGTTATAAAAATTTTGTCTCTCTGGAAATAATCTTAGAGTTATTAGTGAGTAACATAGTTTCTCAACTAAAAGTAAATTCAAGAAAAGGACTTGAAAAGCCGAAACAACAGGTACACAACTTTATGCATGATAAAAAGATCTATCTTACGTACACCTTTGTTAAGCATCAATTTTATTTAGTGTGATGTTTCTTAGAAATAATTCATATTCAAAAGAAGTATGTGTTAGTAAAAAATATAAGTTTTTGAGGAAGTTGCGATCGAAAAATATATTTAATTTTTGGAGTTTTAATTTTTTTTGTTAACTTAGTTATTAAACATATTTTTATTATGACCTATCTGACAGTTTATTTTGTATATTTAAACAAGTTTGTAATTAGGATTTTAAATGTAATTGTTAATAAAGTTTCTTTCTCAACAAGTTTGTTATAACCGTCTTTCTCTCTCTTCTTCCATCTTCAGTTTCATCTTTAATCTTGTGCATCAATAATTGGTATCTAAAATTTTGGTTCGATTCACATGAAAACACGAGCATACGTGACACGTGTGTGATTGATTTCATTTTTTGAGTTCGTGTTTAATTCATTATCGAAATCGTAACAAAATTGTATTTCTTGATTTTGCAGGATCGAGAAACACGAGTGTGTGGTGAGATCTGAGTTTGAGTTTCAATTCACAACACAAAGATGAGCGGCGAAAACAATTTGAAGACTAACTTTTGATGTTTCATAGAAAGAATTGGAATCAGTGGATAATTCAAATGTGTGTGTTGTTTGGGGCTCAAGATGTTTTTGATCTTGTCACTGAAGGTTATGTTCCAGTTGCAGCAGATGCAACGAAGAAACAGAGAAATACGCAGAGAGATACGAGGAAGAAAGATCAGAAAATGTTGTTCTACATTCATCAGTGTGTGGATGCAAACGTGTTTGAGAAAATCGTTGATTCAACGACGACGAAGGTTGCGTGAGATATACTGACACAGTGTTATGAAGGTGATACATTAGTGAAGAAGGTGAAACTTTAATCTCTACGTAAGCAGTATGAAAATCTCAACATGAAGAACAATGAGAAGGTACCTGATTACAATTTTAGAGTGATTTTAATCACAAATGAGATGAAATCTAGTGGAAAAACTCTTTTTGAACAATTAATCATTGAAAAGGTATTAAGATCTCTTACTCCTCAATTTGATTATATTGTTGTAGTAATTGAATATTTTAAAGTGAAAGTTGAGAAAAACACAAGAAAAGGGGGGGGGGGGGGGGGGTTAAATTGGATTTTAAAAACATTTTCGGTTAGAAACAATCAGAATTAGAAACATGTTATAGAGATAAATAATGACACTTTCAGTTTATACAGGTTCACCTTAGAAAAGGTTAATCCTGTCCACCCGTCAAGGTGATTTCGCCTTAGAAAATGAGTTAATACACTACAACCAAACTGATTACAGATGCAGACTACCCACCAGTGACTAACAAATGCACGGTCTACCCGCTAGTGACTGACAACAAATGCACGGGCTACCCGCCGGTGACTAACAACAACAGTGATAACATGTTAGTGATCCCTTAATAATTCTGACCTACCCGGTCCCCTAAGAGATATAACGATCACTGATTTCATAAGACTTCTGACCTACTTGGTCCCTTGAAAGAGATTTCTCTATGCCTTAGAAAAAGACTTAATCAATTTATAGTTGAACAATGTGTTTACAAGATGCTTCTTACAAGCGGATTACACAAATGTTTAAGTACAAATTATTTAACACAAAAATGAGAAACAACTCTTGTATTCAAATAATTTACAATAATAACACAATAAAAAGAAACAACTCTTGTGTTCTAACAAATAGTAATATCAACACAAATATGAGAAATAACTCTTGTGTTTCAGCAAATGGTAATATCAACACAATAATGAGCAACAACTCTTGTGTTTTGATTATTTTCTTTTTCGTGATTTGATTCTTTTTCTTACTTTGACTTGGTTAGCGTTACTGTTCTTGTGTTCAAGTCTTTCTATTTTCAAATGAAACAGTTGATCCTTTATATAAGCGTTAAGGAAGTAGACCATTGTAGTAGTACACACGTCACTTTCATCTTCCTAGTTGCCAATGGTAAGAAACAATCGTGGGATACAAATAGTACACAATACATCCATTTGAGTGAAATGTGTAATTGTACCTTTCTACTAACTCTTCTAGCGCATGTTTATGATGATATTGTCTTCTGATGGATATTACTTTTGATGAGTAGGTTAGCTTGAGAAGATATCATCTTTTGATCTTGTCTTCTGATGGACTATATGATGTAGACTAATGATGAGTCTAGAAGATATAACTTTCCTTTGATATGTCTTCTGATGGAATACTTCTGATGTAAAGTAATGTGCACATATTCTAAGAAGTAACTGAGTCTTCAGAATCTTGACTTTGTCTTCAAAATTAGAAGCAGCAATATTTCTGATGAACAAATCTTGACTTCTGATTCGGAAGTAAAAGCTTTCCTTTGATGTGTTCAGAACCTTGACTTTGTCTTCAGAGTTAGAAGCAACAACTCCTATGACGAACAAATCTTGAGTTCTGATCTTTGACGTGAAAGCTTGTTTCTGGTGCAATCTTATTTTCTGATCTTGGAGCAACATCTCTAATATATATTCTTTCTTCTTGAATACTTGTGACTTCTGAAGCGGCAACTTATTAAGAAGTACACGTTGAGATCCTCTTTCTGACAAACATTCAACATTCTTCAAAACTACTGATGTTACTTCAGAAGCAGATGTTATAGTCTTTCTGATGCGTGCTTGGTGTATTTTTGATGATTCGTCAGACAACAGTCCATAATTAATTAGAACTTTCTAATTTGTACACTCAAGAAACTATTAGAAACAAAATTGTTTATGTATATAATATATGTGTGAGTTCTAGGTTTTAATGGTTGGCTAAATTTTGTCTAAGTATGATTTTAAACATGGTTTTATGTTGATGTTGGTAAGATGGTGCAACATCTTTATCAACTGTCATAACAATTCTAGCTATTATGAGTTTTACTACCAGATATTGAAGACGATGTCATAACATCTGGACCAGTAGGTACAAGCAGGTTCTGCATGTGCCTTATTTGACAGTTGTACCAGCAAATATTATAACATATTACAATATAACATCTTGACAGTGCGCTGGATATTTTATCCTTGAATATTTAATTTGAAGGTATGAGTATCTGGAATATTCTTTACTCATTATAAGTACATGCCACTCAAGGATTTTATTAGAAACAAGTTCATATTTGATTGGTTACTTGAAATGATCGATTGCGACTTTTTAGGAAACTTTTTATTAAGATTGTTTCTATTTTTATGGAGAAAGATTCTGCAGATTTTTCAGAGCTGCTGATTGGATTTGATTGAAGAGTCCAAGCCCAACTGTAGAAGACTATATAAGGATTCGTCCAAGACCTAGTTTTTAAGCATAATTTTTATTGTAAATCGTGTAAAAAATAAGGGTTTAAGGTTGGTAGTTCCTTAGGTTCTCCGTGTGTTTTATTTGTACGCCCCCATGTATCTCTATTACATTTGAGTTGATTGATTGTTAGTTTCTTGTCAAGTTATTATTCTCCTCGAAGTTGTGAAGCAAGAGTTGAGTATTGTTCTTAGTGAAACTTTTAAGCAAACTAAGTATTTGTAATTTTTAATTGTTTTCTTCCTATTTTGGTTTCTTATAGACAATCTTGTGATTGGGATAGGTCTTTTATCACTGCAGTGATTGGAAATGGGATGTCAATTTCTCATATCTATGGAGTAACTATGTAGAAGTTGCAATGGGTATGGATTAGGTGAGAAGTTGTAAACGGGGGAGTTTTGCTTCGAACTAGTATTACTGATAGTGGATTTCCTTATTGGCTTGGTAGCCCCCA